GTGCAAGCATGTGAGACTGGGTGTGTGCAGTGCACGTGGGTGAGACCACAGGGTGTGTGTGCAAGCATGTGAGACTGGGTGTGTGCAGTGCACGTGGGTGAGACCACAGGATGTGTGCGCAAGCATGTGACACTGGGTGTGTGCAGTGCATGTGGGTGAGACGTGGGTGAGACCACAGGATGTGTGTGCAAGCGTGTGAGACTGGGTGTGTGCAGTGCATGTGTGTGAGACCACAGGATGTGTGTGCAAGCATGTGAGACTGGGTGTGTGCAGTGCACGTGGGTGAGACCACAGGGTGTGTGTGCAAGCATGTGAGACTGGGTGTGTGCAGTGCACGTGGGTGAGACCACAGGATGTGTGCACAAGCATGTGACACTGGGTGTGTGCAGTGCATGTGGGTGAGACGTGGGTGAGACCACAGGATGTGTGTGCAAGCGTGTGAGACTGGGTGTGTGCAGTGCATGTGTGTGAGACCACAGGATGTGTGTGCAAGCATGTGAGACTGGGTGTGTGCCGTGCATGTGTGTGAGACCACAGGATGTACAAGCATGTGCAAGCATGTGAGACTGGGTGTGTGCCGTGCAGTTCTCTGTGTTCGTTTGTGCCCGCGAGAACACCCCACGCGGGAGGTGTGCCCGTCACAGACTGGGAGGAGCACGCGCCGTGCTGGGGACGGCGGGCGCACCCGCTTCCCTGGCGCTCACTCGGCTCGCACAACAGGCCCCGACGCCATTGAGCTGCACCTCGTCGGGGAGCCGGCCCAGGCGGCAGGCCCCTCCCTGTACAGGGGAGGGGAGCTAGCAGGGCCCCCACTGCCACGGGCGGAGCCCCCTGCGAGGGGCACACGAAAGACAGACGTCCAGGCCTGTCCTCGGGGCCTGCCGCCTGGCCGGGCAGGCCACCCAGGAACTGCGTGTCCACGGGCAGGTGCCGGGGGCAGAGGGAAGGAGGGAGGTCCAGAGGCCCAGGCAGCCTGCAGGAGAGGCCCGGGAGCTGGGCGCGCCCCCCCCCCCAGGGGCTGAGCGGCGAGCCACTGCGTGGGGCTGCGGTGGCAGCGAGGGCGGCGTCCCTGGGACGTTCACGGCTGCTCGGCTGGACGGGGTTCTCGGCATCAGGAACATCGGGGTTTGTTTTTTTTAAATTTCTTTTAAACACTGAATATAGTGTATCTTTGCTATAAATCATGTATTTTTTAAAGACTTTACTTATTTATTTTTAGAGAGGGAAGGGAGAGAGAGAGAGAGGGAGAGAAACATCAATGTGCGGTTGCTGGGGGCCGTGGCCTGCAACCCAGGCCTGTGCCCTGACTGGGAATCGAACCTGCGACACTTTGGTTTGCAGCCCGCGCTCCATCCACTGAGCCATGCCGGCCAGGGCTGAACTTTGGGGTTTTAAAAGCCACAAAGACGTCCTCTTGGAAAATCTCTTTTGTGTCCTTGTTGGCAAGTGCTGTGACGATTAGCGTCTTATTTGCAGCGTCAGGAAGGGCTCCAGACAGAGAACCAGGAGTCCCGGGGCCTGGTCTCAGCTCGGCCACCAGCCTCTTCTGGGTGACCCTGGCCGCAGCTGCCCGCAGCCTCACCGGCCCACGGAGGAGACCAGGAGGCTGGGGCAGTAGGCCCCAAGGGGGGGCCGGATAGAAAGTTCTATGGCTGGATGACACGGGGTGGGTGGTGGTGTTTAGACAGCACAGGGCAGCCCAGCCCTGGATTTGGGGGAGTGGGCGCTGCTGGCGGCCCTCTCCGCGGCTCCCTCCACGCCAGGGAGGGTCAGGGTCAGGGTCAGGGTCAGGGTCAGGGAGGCGTTCTGAGGCTCCGAGCACTTTCCAGGCAGCTGGTCACGACATCTGCTGGGCGCTGGCTCCAAAGGGGCCGCTGTGGCGTCCACCCCCCAGGCGTGGGTGGGTCCGCGGTGCAGGGTGATGTGGGCGGGAAGCAGGCGGGCAGCAGAGGTCAGCAGGACCCCCGTCGGGGGCTGTGCCCAGGAGTGGAGACGCTGGTCGGCGTCCTGTCAGTCAGGCAGCTGTGCCGAGAGCCTGCAGCGGGCTGGCGAACCGGGCCGTGTCGCCGGGCCTCGCGGGAGGAAGGTCGCCCTGCCCTTGCCTGCTCAGCGTGCTCTGCAGAAAAGGCCCACTTACTGATTAAAGCCGGCTCCGTCCTAATCCTGCAGCGTGGCGGCCTGCACCCCACCTTTCCAGGGGAAGGAGGGGGAGAGCCCGTGGCTCCTCCGTGGCCCCGTGTGGGCAGGCCCCTCCCTTCCTCGGCTCTGACTCAGAGCCCCCGGCAGGCTGGGGGGCTGTTCCCCCTCGGGGCCACGCCCGGGAACGGGTCCCCGGGACGGTCAGGGCCTCTTCCCGCCCCTTCGCCTCTTACTTCCACCCAAGGAGGAGGCTCTGAGCCCGGGGCAGGCCCGGCTGGGCGGGGGGACACAGGCCCTCCCCAGGGTCTGGCTGCCTGGGTGACCCCGCCGGTGCCCCTTGGTCCGCCTGCCTCAGTTTCCCCCATGCTGGCCGCACAGCTGGTCCGTCCCCAAGCCCCCCACCGCCAGTGCTGGCAGGTGAGCGTCTCTGGGGGTCTGGAGGAGCGGGTTTCGCAGGCTCTGGGGGTCTGTGTGGACAGAGAAGTTGGGGCGCTCTCGGGATCTCTGCATGGACCAGGGCTGGCAGGAGGCTCATCACTCCCAGCCCGCACCCCCGCTTCTGGGCGTGGCGCCCACCTTCCATCGGTCGGAGGGCTGGCCTCTGGCCCACCCGGCATCGAGGGGCCCTGGGCCTGCTTTGGGACGGGGGACGGAGGGCGAGTGTGTCCCCTGGTGAGAAGGATGGGGCCCTGCGTGGGGCCCACACCAGGACTCTGCATTTCCTGGGGCTCCGAGCCGGTTTAAACCGGCCTGACAGCGCTGCCGGGCTGCCCGGGGCGGGCTGCGGCGGGGTTCTGTCGGCGACCCACCCGGGCCGAGTGGCTGTCCAGCACCGGGCCCTGGGTCAGTCGGGCCCCCAGGGGGGCTGTGCGGGCGGCTGGGAGGCAGGAGGCCGTGGCTTGACCGCTGATGCCTGGGGCCGGCACGGGCACGGTGGCAGTTCAGGCCCGCTGTCACCTGTCTGCTGGCGTGTCCTGTGGGCGTGGGTGGCAGCTGCAGCACCCGCCGGGCTCTGTCCCAGGGTCTCCACCTCCTGGGCCAGCGTGCCCCTGATGAGGGGCTGGAGCTGCCCTGGCAGGATTGCCCGAGTAGGAGCTATGGGCTGTGGGGCGAAGCCACCGCCCCAGCAGCAACTGCTGTCCCTCCTTCCCGACCAGCCGGCTGCCCTGACGAAATCAGGCTCAGGAGCGGCGGGCTCAGGAGTGGCGGGCTCCCGCGGACCCTGCCGCTGGCTCCAGCCACCGCGTCAGGCCGGTCCCTGTAATCAGCTCTTTAAGTCCATCTCCTGGCGGCTCTGCTCTCTGATCAAAGCCGCGAGCCAGCCTCTGCCCCGCACAGCGAGGCCCCGTGCCCGTGCCAAGGACAGCAAAGAAGGTGTCTGTGCTGCGCTGCGGTCCCCAGCAGGGTGGTGACGCTGTCCGCGGCCGGCCGCCCTTGAACGCGGAAGCTGGTGTCCCTGAGAGGCCAGGCGGGCAGGGGCTCCGGTTCCCCAGCGGTGGTTCCTGGTTCACTGGGAACTCGGGCGGGGTTCCCACGCTGCGGAGAAACCACAGGCCGCCCTCTGACCCTGTCGCACCTCCTTCTGGTCGTTCCTTTCTGCAGCGGCTCTTCTCACGGTGCCGTGTGGGGGACCACCCACGTGACATGCTGGAGACGCAGGTTCTAACTTCCCCACCCGACTCGCTCAACTTGGAAGTTTCTAGGTGGAGCCTTGAATTGTCCAGTGACCCACCATCTGGTTTGTAAAGGACCGAAGGGTTTCTGGGACGTGGAACTTTGCTGACGTGGGGACAGTTCCAGGCAGAAGGGACCTGTCGATCGGCCTGCTTGAGCCTTGCTCAAGGTCCCCTGTGCTGGCCCAGCAGCACGACCCCCATTTCCCTCCATCATGATGATTGGCTAGTGCCCAGCCAATCAGAAGCTTCCCTGGGATTCTTCACTCGCAGTTGCTAGGTCATGCTCTCTCATCTCCCCAGTCACAGGGCAAGATGGCAGGGACTCCCCTGTGACCGTGGTTGGGTTTCCCTGCCTGCCTGCCAGCTGTCCTCTGTAAAAGGTGAGAAGGAACCCCAGCGGGGACTGAGCTGGAAAAAGCCTGCAAACCCGCCCACCTGCCCTCGGCCGCCTCTTGTCCCTGGGATGACGGGGATTCGGGGTGCTGGGAGGGTGGAAGGAAGCTCCGTGTGTCCGGGCCCCGTGTCCCCTCCACCGGGCAGAGGACCTGGTGCACCAGGCGAGGCCCTGGGGAGGGGGAGGCAGGAGAAAGTGCTTGCATGCGGGAAATTGTTCCTCCCGCCCAGCGGTCCTCCCCTGGCGACGCGTGTCCGGGATTAGTTTCGTGCATCCCACCCACCGCCAGGCACGCGTCAGGAGGGCGGATCCTGCTCTGACGCGAGGTCAGAGATGAAGCCCACCGCCGTGAGCCGACGTCTCGGGCGGCCGCACGCAGCCCACCCTTTCCCGCGGAGTGACTGTGTTTGCCCAGTGGCCCCCCGGGGACGCAGGGCCCGGACACATGGGTCCACGGGAAGAGCCGGTGTGGCTGGCAGGCTGGGACGGGGACTGGACGCCAGGCTAGGGGGGACCCCAGTCCGGCGGCCACATCAGCCCTGTGTCTGCAGCCCTGCTCTGCCTGCAGCTGGAAGGCAGCCGCAGGCCACAGCGGGGCAACAGTGGCTGTGTGTCCTTGAACTTCACTGGCACGCAGGTACCACGGGCCCTGCCGCGCCGATGCCTTAGACCACCAGACACCTCCTGCTGAGACCACCTGGCCTTAGGCCACGTCACAGAGGGGCGTGGATAGGTACGCAGAGAGGGGCCCACGACCAGGGACCGGCCGATGCAATTCACGACGGCGCCTGTGCAGCGAGCCAACACCTTTATTGAGGACTGGTGCTGTGGGCGAGGCGGGGCGGGGTGGCATGGGCCGCTCTGATGCAGGCAGGCGGGGGAGAAGGGCTGGCCGCCGGTTGAAGGCTTGAGGCTGAGGGTCCCCGAGGGGGGCCGGGGAACGGGATGAAGCTCTTTGCTTCCACGAGGATAATGACCAGGGATGTGTCTCCCCTCCCTCGTGCGCCCTAGGCGGACCGCACCTTCATCTCCGACACCTTGTAGCTGTAATTGTACCCTTTCCCCGACTGCCAGTTGATGCCGTTTGCAAAGCTGTCATGTGAGCCCCCGAGGTAGCGGCCGTTCAGGTTGGACGAGTGGCAGTTCTTGTACCACCAGGCTCCTTGGTACTGCTGGGCGCAGTTCGAAGAACTTTCGTCGTTGTCCTGGTCTTTGGTGGAGAACGCCATGTTGTTGTGCTGCATCAGGGAGTCACCTGCGCAGGGGGGAGGGCGGGCGTTCACACACAGCGCGGGGTTGGGGGGGTCCTGGGCGCCGGGCCGAGCCTCACAAAGTCCGAGGGGGCCGCTGACGTGGCCCCAGGGAACCCCCACTCAGCCGACACGGCGGCCTCCGAGCCCCCCAGCCGGATCTCCCGCTGGCTGGCGGACACCCTGCCACTTTTAGAGGGGGGCCACACTGCCCGAGACGACCACAGAATGGGCCGACTCCTGGTCCGTTCCCACCGGCACCCCGACGGTGGCTGAGAACGGCACCACCACTCATTGGGCTTCCCACCCGTGTCATCCTCGTGGGGACGAGCAGGTGGGGGCCGTGTTGTCCCAACGTGTGGATGAAGGAACCGGGGTGAGCAGAAGCCACTGCCCCTCATCGCCCGGAGGACGCGGGGCCGGGAGAGTGAGCAGGCCCACCCTGCCCCGCCCCCCAAGTGCCCCTGCCCGGCCGGGTGCTCACCCGCACTGCCCCTGACCAAGGCGCCCAGCACCAGCTTGTACTTCTCCTCCTCGCTCCCCAGCTTGAACGACTGGTACTTGGCAAACTGGTAGCCGCCCTGGAAGTCCACGAGGTCGACGCGGAGCTCGCTGGTTCCTGTGGACAGAGGCGGTCAGGCGCCAGCAGCGGGGACCCTCTGCCTCGGGGGCTTGGCTACGCTTTTAGGGAATTTGGGGACTGGGCATCCAAGGGGAAGCTCCTCAGGGTCACACAGAACGTCCTGGGCTAGTAAGGGGCACGGGAACGCCCTTCCCACGGGTCCCTCGCCGAGCCCCCAGGGCCCTACTCGGGCTCACGGCCCGGGCTGTCCCCCGACCGGCCAGCAGCGGGCTGTGATGTCACTCACCGCTCTACCCTTTGTGTGGGAGCGCTGGCTTGGGACAGGGCCTCAGGGCGGCAGGGAGGGAGCAGAGGGCGGGCCCAGCGACAGGATGGCCCTGGGCCAAGGTCAGGGGCAGGGGGGTCTCGGGGCCCCAGGCCCTCGAAGGGCTGGCCCCGGGCCTACCCTGGGCGGTCAGGGCGTGAATGTTGTCGTTGCCCAGCCAGAACTCCCCCAGCTGGCTGCCGAAGCCCTGCTTGTACTCGGCCCAGTCCCGGAAGAAGTCCACGGAGCCGTCACTCCTCCTCTGGATCACCTGTGGGGGCGGGAGGGCAGGGGCGGCCCTGCAGTCGGTTGGTGCCGCCCAGTGCCACCACGAGGCCACCTGAGCCTCAGCACAGACCCCGGGTGCTCAGACGGTGCCCACTGGTGACTCAGGAGGAAGAGGAGGCTCAGAGAGGGTGGGGGACACGCCCCAAGCGGCACAGCTGGAGCGGCCGGGGCCTCCCCCGGGCCTCGCCCCACTGTCTGGCTCTCTCTGTCCGTGGTGAATGGGGGGCAGCAGCTGAGACAGCTGGGAGCTGGACAGTGGGACAGAGGCTAGAGAGCGGGAGTCCCCCCCAACACAGCAGCCCCCACCCCGGCCTGCGCAGCCGCCCTGACCCGGGACACTCACCGTCCAGCCCCCGCCGTCCGTGTGCATGTCACACAGCACGACCAGGGGCCGGCAGTCGGGCAGGTAGATGGTGTGCCAGCCGCTCAGGAGGTGCCCCCTGGTAAGCAGCTCGTTGCAGTTCCGAGGTCCTGGGAGGGGACCGGGAGGTGGGTGCTGGGGCTGGGCCCCGGGCAGGGGGGGGCGGGGGGACTGGGGGGGAGGGGAGAAGCAGGGGCAGCGGCTGTCTGCATGGACGGGGAGGGCTCCAAGGCCTGGGACTGACGTAGCCCGGCACCCAAGGGCACTCCTACCCCCAGGTGCCCCCATCTTGGTCCCCAGGGTCTGGGCCTTTCAGGGAACGGTGTCCCTCCCACCAGGAGACTCCCGGGGCTACACCAGGTTCTCTAAGCATGAGCTGCCTGCCCCTCGAGTAGCCAAGGAGTGAACATGAGTGTGGGCCCTCCAGGTCCTGCCCCGCGGGCCTGGGAGGCTGGCCTTCTGGTCGACCGCCCCCAGCCGGGAGCAGGTCCAGCTCAGATACCAGGTGAGGGCCCGGTCAGTCACCTGTGGCACAGGACTGGGATTGTGCGGAGTCTCCTGTGGGTTGTGAGAGAAGACACGCATGTCACACGTCTAGAAATCAAGGTCCCCGTCCTCCTCTGCCCTCGTGGCTCCACGGACCCCAAACAGACAAAGCTCTTCCCGGGACACGCAGCCCCTGTCCTAGCGAGCAGGTCCCAGACGCTGTCTCCGGGGTGTGGGGCCACCACGCCTGCGTGAGCTCGGCGCCACCGAGTCCCAGGTGGACTGGGGCTGAGGGTCAGCCCTGCCCCTCAGGGTAGGGACCGGGCCTCGGTACGGCCGTCTCGTCCGGGGCTGTCCCGGTCCTCCCCAGCTCAGCCCTGTCCCCAGCAGAGTCTGTGGAGGGGACAGTGCTGGGGGCGGGCATGTGGCTCTGTGCCCCGGCCTTGCACTTTGTACTTGTGGGCAGATCTGTTGCCTTTTCAGATTTTTTTAAATTTTATTTTAATCCTTGTCCAAGTACAGTTTTCTCCCTTTTACTCCCATTCCAGCCCACCCACCCATCCCTCCCCACCTCCCTCCCATTACCAGCCCCACCCCTAGTTTTTGTCCCTGTGTCCTTTAAATTTGTTCCCGTGAACCCTTCCCATTCTCCCCTGAAACTCCCTCCCCTCCCCCCTCTGAACACTGTCAGTCTGTCCCCTATTTCAGTGTCTTTGGCTATATTTTGCCTGGCTGTTTGTTTTGTTGTTTAGGTTCCTGTCAAAGGTGAGATCACATGATATTTGTCTTTCATCATCTGGCTTGTTTCCCTTAGCATAATGCTCTCCAGCTCCATCCACGCTGTTGCAAAGGGTAGGAGCTCCTTTCTGCTGCAGAGAATTCCATTGTGTGAATGTACCAGAGTTCTTTGATCCACTCATTTACTGATGGGCATCTAGGCTGCTTCCAGCACTTGGCTATTGTAAATCGTGCTGCTGTGAACACTGGGGTGCACAGGTTCTTTTGGGTTGGTGTTTTAGATGTTTTTATAAATATGTTCATGTTGAGTGTCGATCAGAAAACAAGCAAGTCACTCTCCAGGTGCACGCAACAGCGCAGCCTGCCCGCCACGTGGGTCCTCGCTGGGCTCGGGGCCCTCACCGACTGCGACCGCATAACACGGTGCAGACACCCCCCAGCCCCCCACCGGCTGCCTGGAGGGGCAGGGCCAGGAGACCCTCCCCCAGGGGACCGTGCTGGGTGTCACGGAGGCCTGGGCCGAGACCTCCCCAGCACAGAGCCTGCCAGGGAGCCCCCAGGATGGTGGGAGGGGCTCACCCTTCTCTCCACAATCACCCTTCTGTCCACGATCACCCTTCTCTCCGCGCGCACCGGTCTCCCCGCGGTCTCCTGGAGAAGACAAGACAACAGGACCCTGCTGCTAGGACACCGGGTCGGTGGGACACGGACCGTCTGCTCCGGAAACCACCCAACTGCTCTGCTTTCCAGCAGGTGTGTGGGAAGGGCCGTGAGACTCCTCGCTCTGCCGTGGGCTCAGGAAGGTGGGACTATGCGGGCACCCCCCGCAGGGGAGGGCACTCTGGGGCCCGGGGGCCCGCCCGGTGAGGGGAGCTGGCTTGGCACCCAGTCCCTGGGCCCGGGGCTCAGTGTGCACCCCCCCGCCCCTCCCCCAGGTGCCCTAGAAATGGAAAATGCAGCAAGCGCCCTCTGGGTCCCTCTGTCTCTCTGGCCGCCTCCCTCCACCTGTCCCTCCCTTTGCTCATTCATCACCCCCTGCCCCGCCCCCATCTTTCTCTCATTTCCCTGCAGGCAGACCCGGGGCGCCCAGGGGTCTTCGCTCTCTGTCACGTGGTTACCTTTGGGCCCCACTGGCCCCAGCATCCCAGGTAGTCCAGGCAAACCCCATTCTCCTGCGAATTCCAAACACGGCACTGAGGAAAATGCACCCCACACTTCTCACTGGGGATCTTCGCTCTCTGTCACGTGGTTACCTTTGGGCCCCGTTGCCCCCGGAATCCCAGGTAGTCCAGGGTAACCCCGTTCTCCTGCGAATTCCAAACACACGGCACTGAGGAAAATGCACCCCACACTTCTCACTGGGGATCTTCGCTCTCTGTCACGTGGTTACCTTTGGGCCCCGTTGCCCCCGGCATCCCAGGTGTTCCAGGGTAACCCCGTTGTCCTGCGAATTCCAAACACACGGCACTGAGGAAAATGCACCCCCACACTTCTCACTGGGGATCTTCCCGGGGTGCAGTCCTGACCCGTCCCTTCAGCCCCAGTGGTCCTCAGCATCACCGCCCGGGACAGCCCAGTGGTGACCGTGGCTGGTGGTGACCCCGCGGCCAGCTGCGTGGTGCAGAGCAGGGTGGCACCTGGAACTCAGGTTCCTTGGGGTACCTCCTGGGTTCCAGCCTTTGATGCCGGCAGCCGGCCCAGCCTGCGCGGAGCCTGCGCGGAGCTCCACTACCTGGTCATGGGCCTGGGGCGAGGACCACGTCCTCGGACACCCTGTCACCAGGCCTCCACAGGACACGGTGAGTCCCCCACGCCGTGGTCCCCCGCGGGAGGAGTCCACTCTGCGTCCAAGCCCCTGGGCTGGGCCTCCGTGCGGGCTCTACCCCGTCTCCAGAGGGAGGTGGGGCCCCTGGCCTCCCGGGTCACCTGCACGGAGGCCCCTGAGCCTGGACACCCTTGACACATGCGTCCTGCCTCCAAGGTGATGCCCCCCCGCCCAGCTGCGTTTCACGTGCACACCCCAGGCCCGGTGCGTCGGCTTGGGCTCAGATACTCCGTGAAAATAGGCCCAGGTGTGAGCTCAGAAAATTCTTAAGGGACTGGCTCTTCCTTTCAGGCCTGGGTGGGCACCAGCCCTGAGCAGGGCCAGCCCCACAGCCCCACCCGTGACCCCTCCGCTCGGAAGTCCCACAGTGCTGGGTGCGAGTTCTTGGGCCGTCTCCCAGGGCTGGTGATATTGCAAAACTGGGCCCGGCAGGCGTGCCCTCCTCACCCCCGCACTCGCCTGTGCACTGGGATGGGATGCTGCCACCCCCCACGAGGGCTGTGAGGCAGGTCCCCTGCAGACAGTGAGGGGGGGCCCGTCTGGAGAAGAATATTCTCGAGGGCACGCCGTGAGGGGCGGTGGGTGGAGGCTGTCAGCTCTCAGACCGACCCCATTGGGTCCTACTCACCTGCAGCCTCACTCACCTACACAGGTGTCTGCCGCCGAGGCCACAGAACACAGGAAGGCCATGGCCAGGACAACGGGCCCCAAGGCCACCGCCGCTCGGCTCACCTGCATCTTGGGTCCTGGCCGCTGCGGGCAGCTCCCGCCTTTATGGGCAGCTCGGAGCCCCACCCCCGGCTCTGTTTGTCACCCTTGGGGGCAGGGCACCTCCTCCCCCACCCGTGGTGTCCCCCGAAGGTGGCGTGGCCTCAGGGGACCCTGAGGGGCCACACCCCACACCCCACGTAACGAGCTTCCTTGTGGCTCCCCCTTGATGGAAACACTTTCCCAGCGAGAAGCGGCCGGGCCTGCCTGCCTGCCACTGTCTTTTGAGAAGGTTCTGCATGGATGTCCCAGGGCGGCAGGGTTGGCGGGACTGGGGGTGTCGTCTGCATACAGTGGGCTTGAAGTCTGCAGGGGGTTGGAAGCACCCTCTGGGGGTCTAGGGTGGTTGGAGGGAGGGGTGGCTTCCAGCCGCGGCCAGGCCCGGGGCAGGCCAAGGGGGTGGCTGCCTGGGACGCTGACGCCTGCCGTCCCAGCCCGCACTGCAGAGGGGCCAGACTGGGAACTAGGCAGAGGCAGCTTTGTCTGGGGGGGCTGAGGGAGGTGGCACTAGCTGCCCCCAGCAGGGGCCCGGCTGCCTGGGCCCCTCCACACCCCAGAGACTATGGCTAATTCTAGACGCTCTCACCTGGTGGCCAGTCCAGTTAGAGTTGGAGGTGGCAGGTGTGTGGTCCCAGCCCCAGTTCCTGTCCGGGTGTGACATCAGAATTCTGAGCCCAAGTCCGACGAAACCCCGTGAGGATCAAGCACCATGTCAGGGTCCCCAGGGGCCTGGGAAGGGGACAGCTGGACATCGGAGAGAGGACAAGTACTTTCCTGTCCCCACTGAGTGCTTAGCAGAGACCTGGTCACCTGAGACTAACAGAGAAAGCTCATTGACACACCTGGCTCGTGTGCCCACGGGACACGCTCGGGGGGTCCCAGGGATGACACCCTCCTCACAGGGAGGGGGCGAGGGCCTCGCAGGGCCAGGAGGACGGTCGGTGGCAGTCTGTCTGTCTTCTCCCGCGCTTCCCACCGTGGGGGCGGGTGAGGACGGGCCCGGAGCCCGGAATTCGCAGGGTGACGGCTTTGGCCTGAAGGGGTCCGAAGCCCACCCCACCCCGCACTTTTTCACGTTGGTCCCGTCCACGGTGGCCTGCTACCTCACTGCCTGTTTGCTCAAGCCTTACGGGCAGCAACTTCAAAAGAGGCGAACTCTGACCTTCTGACATTCCGGCTTTGAGATGTTTGCTCGCCCCCAACGGGTTATTTGAACGGACTGCCAACGTTCTTCCTGGACCTTTGCTCTGTTTGTGTTTTTCCTTCCTCCTCACAACTGCCCGCCCTCGCTCCTGTGGTTAAGATGGTCTTAGGGGACGAGAGCCCCCCCCACCGCCCCGCCGTCTCTCAGGCTGCCGGCGGGGGGATAGAGCCCCTTCCCTCCCACTGGCCCCCGTCTCCTGGGGACTCGCCCCCGGGGTGGCAGGCAGGCGCGCCTGTACCCTTGGCGGGGGTTGGGGGGGGGGTCGGGTCTGGGGTTTCGAGGGTTGACGCTGCTTCAGGGGGCCCCTGAGAGCAGTCGCTTGGTGACCCAGGGGGAATGTGGGCATGAGTCTCGGAACAAGGGGGTGGCTTATGTGCGGGTCCCGCTGTGTCGATTGTTTGGGGGACCCCTGAGTTCATCCCAGGCTTGTGTTCCACAGTTTCTAGAAATCCGCTCACACACGGGATCATCTCAGAAAGGGACGCGCCTGGGCCGCCGCGACACCGGTCTCAATCTGCTCGTTTTGTCAATGCAAGTAACATGCTTGCAGCCGCTGAACGGACTGTGTCAGCGAATGGAACAAGACCTATTCACAGGCCTCTCGAAGGAGGTTATTAGAGTCTGCCTGTTTTGTGTGGAATGAGGTTTACACGTCAGACTTAAAAGCTTAGGGAAGGGATCGCCGGACTTTTGGAGTTAACGTTTTAATGAACCGAACGGGCTACATTTGAATTCATTTAAAAAAACGGTGACATGCCGAGGAGGCTTCTCTGAGCCCCGAGCAGGACAAGACTCGGGGCGGGACAGGACTGGGGGGGTCCGGAACCAGGACTGGGCCCGGCCCAGCTCAGGTGTCCCTGGGGGCACTGCAGGTTACGGATGGGGACACGGGGGGGGGGGCGGAGAAGGAGGGAGGCAGCGGGGGGCCTCACAGCCTGGACTCGGGGGGCTGGGTCAGAGCCCAGCTCCCTGGGGCGCTTGGGCCGCCCTCCGTCCCCTCTCTCCCTCTGCCACGCTGCCCACACCTGCCCGCTGGCCGCCACCGCCACCCCCACCCAGAGACGGAGTCCAGGTCCCGAGGTCATCTCTAATGGGCGGGAGCGGGAGTCAGACGTGCCCTCCAGCCCTCGGGAGGGTCCCCTGGAGCCGAAAGACCGCTCACGGAGCAGGTGAAGGGCGGACTCGGGGACGGTGACCCAAAAGGACAGGCCTGTCCTCAGCTGCCTTGCACGGGGAGGTGTCCCTGCTCCCGAATTTCAGGGTTCCTTCCCCTTGGGCACTCCAAAAACATCCCCAGGGCCAAGGCACGGCGACCCGGCGTCCTCACGTGCCGGCCTCATGAGCAAGAGGGCGGGTGTTTGCTGAGCACCCGCTGGGTGCCCGGCACGGGGCAGTGCCCGGTGACACGTGGGGGACGGAGATGGAGCAGACAGGGCCCCGAGCCCGTGGGACCGCCCCCACCGAGGGAAGGCAGACGCAGAGCCGCATGGCCACACGGCGTGGTGCGGCCGACTGAAAGAAGAGCCCCAGCTCGGGACAGCAGCAGAGCGTCCCAGCCCAGGCCCCGCAGGCCCGGACCCGAAACCCACTCTGTGACTTCCCGTGTGAAGGCCCCAGCAGGCCAGCGTGTGGGCTCCCGGCCCTGTCCTGACGGCCAGCCGCATGCCAGCCACCCGGCCCGCCCGAGGGGCCCAGGGCCTGGAGACCTGCAGGGGCGGCTGGGGCTGGCGGTCACTGCCCTGCTCTGCCCTGCCCTCCCCACTTCCCTTTGGCCGGCCCTGGACTCAGCCCCAGTGACCCCAGGACCCTGGGGAGGGCGGCCTGCTGGTGACTGGGCAGGGGCCCCGGTGCTGCGGGGCCCTGCGGCCCAGGCTCCAGGAGGGGGCGCTGTCGGGGCCGCGCCTGGCGTCCCAGGTGCGTCCCATTCTCGGGCTCCCGCCCCCTTGGCCACGCCCACACGCTTCCTCCCGCGCCTTCCGTCCCAGGGGCGCTGCTCGGCCCCGCGGGGCCACGCTCCGGGGCAACGTGTCTCCGATTCTCCTCCCCCTGCTGCCTCGCTGCCTTTGGGCAGCCGTCGGCCCCTGGAGTCCGCGCGACGCCTTCCCCTGGGTCACGAAGGCTTCCTCCTCGGGTTACATAAACTTCGTGTTCCACCCTCAGCCCCGGCCCACGCCGGCCCGCGTTCACAGTTGCTAGTCCTCGCGTGTGGTCCGGCCAAAGAGCTTTTTATTTCACACATTTACAGTCACTTTTATTTTATTTTATTTTATTTTTAGACTTTCCTTATCTCTCAGAGTCCCGGAGGGAATTTGAGGCCAACTAGGGCGCAGACGCGATCCCCAGACGTCTCCGTGCGTCTCCACAAGCCCCTCCCCCACCACTCCAGCCTCCGCGGCCCCCAGCCTGAGCGCGGGACGCGGGCTCTGGGCGTGCCACCCCACCCAGGGTGCCTCCCTCCCGGCCCACCCGCACGCCCAGCGGGCGCTCCCCACTGCAGGCTGCTCCATGATGCTTTGCGGCAGAGATGGGGCGCCGGCACCGTGGGGGCGGCACGGGGTGGCTGGACACTGGGGACGCAGAGCTCTCCCACCACTCAGAGGCGGAGGCCCCGTGCAGAGCACGTCTCTGCGGCGCTCACAGGGCCCTGGCGCCTGGCAGGGAGCAGGCGGCGGGCGCCTCACTCCGGCCTGTCCCGAGCACAGCGGCCGGAACGTGCCCAAGGCTCAGAGCCGGGGGGAGCATCATCCCCTCGTTGTACATGCAACGGTGCACACACACGCTCATGCACGCTCGCACACACTCAACGCACGCTCGTCTCATCAAGTGTGCTTGGCCAGTGCGGTCTCCAGATGGCACCTTGGCCAGGCGACCCCTTGCTGGAAGTTTCGGGAGACGCCCTGAGCGAGGACCCAGGTGATCTGTGTCCCGGTTCCCCGCCCACGGCAACGTGAGGTAACAGGTGTGCGTCCTTGTGAGCCTCTGTTTTCGAGTAACTTGTTTTGCAACAACACGTAACACGGGCACTGGCAGGTGTTTTTACTCAGTCTGCTCCCTTAATGAGTCTCTTAAAGCACGGGTGGCAAGTACAAGGCCCGTGGGCCGAATCATGCCCTCCACCTGGGTTCATCCGGCCCGGCACCTGGCTCCTACCCGGCGGCAGGGCCGAGCTCCGTGCCCCTAGTTGAGGAGCAGTTACACGTACACAGCCCTGAAGTTACATTCGGCCCTTTGAAGGCCCCCGCAGGCTGACGTGGCCCCCGTGAAAGTGAGTGTGACGCCCCCGGCCACCAAGGCCCCTTGGCCTGGGGGTGTCTCGTTTCCAGCAGGTCTGAGGGCGCCCCAAAGGGCAGCGACGCCCCCGCACCCTCAAACACCGCTGCTCCCCACGCGTGCGGGAGAATCATTAGGCTTTCCCCAGGTCCACGTGATACCCATTTGTCGCGTAAAAAAGGGAAGATGAGGAAAAACAGGAGGTTGTGTGCAGGTGGTTTTTGTTGAAGCATCTGCCCTGGGGATCACTGGAGAGTGACCATTCCCTGGCTGGACGCAGGCACGGGCCCCGTGCCGCAGCCGTGTCTGGCGAGCCGGAAGGAGGCCCCAGGCCCCGTCAGCGCCTTCGGGCCGAGGAGCGAGGGGAGTGGCCGCACGGCTGGGCCCGAGGGGGGGTCATCCAGGCCTCAGGACATGCCGGCCAGGCCGTGTTCCCTGAGCGTGCCCGTCTGGAGGACCTCTGTTGCAGGGCCCATGTCCCCTCTCTCACTGTGGGCCGGGGGGCCTGCTGGGG